TCCAGATGTTAGAGTGGGGCTGTAAGTTTGAAGTTAGCAGGCAGTGAAGTCTGTGCTGATGCATGGACATGGTTTTAACCCTATCCCTGGTCAGCTGTGCTATACCCGTTTGTCATAAGTAACATAGAGTAAGTGGACACAGTGGATAGCTAAATAAAATTTCATGACATAGCCCAGCATGTTCTATTAAAGGAAATGATAAACATTCTCAGTGTTTTTTGAGCACTATTTATGTGTCATTCATGTTGAATATACAACATCATTTAATCATCTTAACAACGTCCTTTGAGGTGGGAATTATTAACCTTATTTAACAGATGGGGACTGAGCCTCAAAGACACTAATTAGCCTTCCCAATGTCAGAGTCCTAGAAAGTATTTTGTGTGGATTTGAACCCAGCCTTTTCAGACCCTGAGGCCAGTCTTTTGATCACCATGCTGCTTTCACACATAGGCAGCATTTGGTCTTCTATCTGACTCCTACAGAGGTTTCCCAAATTGAAGACATTATAAAGCAGAGGCTATAGAAAGGCTAAAGGTGTTGCTTTCACTTTTTAATGATCTATAAAGTCAGAAATAGTAAAGCAGATGATAACAGTCTAATAAACATATACCCCCCTTCTCTCCTACTCATTAATACCTACAAGAAAGAAAGAAAAAAGGAAGAGGAAAGAAGAAATAAAAGAAACAAGAAAGAGGAAGGAAGGAAGGAAGGAAGGAAGGAAGGAAGGAAGGAAGGAAGGAAGGGAGGGGGGGAGGGAGGGAAAAGGAGGGATTCCCCAAGCACTGTGACATTTCCAAAGAGCCTCAAGTCTCTGGCCAGACAATCATGTCAACATTTCCCTACCTTAAACATGGGCTGTACATCCATGATTAAAATCATAATTGCAATATAAAAATTATGCTGTCTGGCAGTTAAAAACATTATTCCTGGTGAAATGTGGAAGAAATGTCCTTTTCATACTGAATATGATTATGCTCAGAGACTCATCCTGAAATACAGACTCCTGCCATCTCCTTGTCACCAGACTGTCATAGTTAAGATGAGAAAGTTTAAATACCTATATTTTATTTGTTTTTAATAATTTTGCACAACATATTAATTGTCTGATAGTTATTTCTACATTGAGGAAGTGGTTGAGCATCGGAAATGAGACTGGATAGTGAGGTTTTTTTTCCTGCTGCAATATGTGTTATTATTTTTCTTTTCTAGTGTCTGAAGGTACAGAGAGAGTTCACATTGGTAATTTGAAGAGTAAATTGTTTCTTTTGAAAACCTTATTCTAGTGCATTGTTAACTTGATTTAAAACTAATCTTCTGTAGAGGATTTTGGAAAGGGCCTACGGGCCAATCTGAAAGCAGTTCTCTGCAGGTGGGCCATGACAGCTCATCACCTGTGAACTAATCCAAAATCACAAAGTCTAATCACTCTTGTTCATTGTGTCTTGACTTCATGGGCCACTAATATCATGGCTCCAAGGAGATTTTTCTTCTACTTGGCCAAGCATATGCTAATAGTTTATTCATACAGGATGATAACAGCTTATACTCGTTGCATGATTTCTCTGTGCTGAGCACCAAATATGTTTGGGTAATTTATGTGAACTATTCAGTCCTCATTAGATAAGTGCTATTATCATCCTCTTTCTACAGATGAAGAAACTGAGGCACATAATGCTTATTAACTAGTACTAGTCAATACATTTAGTTCCCATTTTTTTCTTCTTCTGGTCTTCCAGTACATTTCTGTCTCCTTAGCAACCTCCATCCACCTATAACTACAACCTCATCTAGGTTTTAGTGTTTCCATTATTTTGATCCTAATCACAAAGTTATCTGTTGGCAGTACAGAACTGGTTTATGTATTCCGTCAGTTATTTATTACTGCAAAACAAACAACCCTGGACATTTGTGGATTAAATTCAAGATAATTTGATGTGCATTTTATCACAATTTTAATTTTTTAAACATTTAAAGTCCTAAGTAAATAAAAACAAGTTTACTTACTTAGCATTTTGTGAGTCAACTATTTAGCTTGCGCTCAGCTACAGAATTCTGCTAGTTTAGCAAGGGTCACTTATGCAGCTATAGCTATCTGGTGGCTCAACAAGGACTGGGTAATCTAAGATGGCCTCATTCACATGTCTAGCACATGGTGCTATCTGTCAGCTGGGCCACCTGTTTCCAGCAGACCGTGCTTCTTTACATGGCAACGTTGCTCCAAGTCCCAATCTGCAAATATTTTTAAAGCCTCTGCTTGCATCACATTTACTGGTCTTCTGGGCCAACACAAGTCTCATGTTTAAGTCTGGGATCAAAGTTAGAGGAAACTACACAAGGGTATGGGTTCATAACAATCTAATATAATAAGCACCTAAGATATTCTTCCTTCTCTTTCAACAAGATCTAAATAACACAAGCCTAAGAAGACTGGATAAGAGAAGGAAATCCAAATTTCCCAATAAGCCAAGAATATATCAAATTCTAAATTTGGCCTTCAGTTTGAGCCTCAGATGTAAATGAATTCCAAGTCCCATATTTCCACTGAAATACATTTCTTTTCAGAGCATGTTTTGAAAAGATGGCCAGCAGCTTTGTATTTAAATGAAAAACAATATTTCATTTGAGGCCACAACAATATTAAATATTTTTTACAAGACTCTACTGGATGATGACAATGCTAATGCTGTATTTTGCCATGGGAACTTTTGTTTTACTGAACCACTAAAATTACCATCAGATGTGCTCATCTTCTGTTGAAGTAATGAACAATGGTATGTCTGAGAGAGAAATTCAAAGTGCATCATTTATCTTATCCTATTTTCAATTAGGCTGAATAAAGTATAAAGTCGGTTCCAAAGTATATCACAGAAACAGGGTAAGTAAATTTATTATACCACTAGAGTGCTAATCTTAGCAGATGGTAGAAAAAATATTTTTAGCATGAAATATGCTAAAGCAATAAATCTGAACAAGGTGGATCTCATCAACTAATATCTCCCCCGTGTGAGGTAAAACTCTTTCATGACAACTCAGCATTCTTATGAAGTCTGGGTGGATGTGGTTAGATATGGCCCTCAGTGAGAGAGGCAAAAAACAGCAAAAAAATGAGCATCAATTAGGAAAATAACCACACGTGCCAGGACACCGCACTGACTTTTTTTTTAAACAGTGAAATGACAATGTTGTGTTTAAAATTTTCTTGGATTTTATTTTTTTAAATCATGCCTACCCTGAGTAGGCATGATAGGTCAGTCTTCCATGTGGGAATTTTCCAAATTGGAAAATTTACAAAAAGTCTCTGTTAGTAGACATGAGTACAAACAGTCACACATTGGTACTAATCACCAGTAGCCAAGTTATACATCTAATAAGAGAGCCCAGGGAGGGGGCTCTGAAAAACTAGGCTCAGGCACAAGGCACCTGAGTGAGAGCTTCCAGTACAAGGGATGCATTTGGTTCATGGTTTATCAGAATCCAGCTGCTAAGTCTAAACAGATAGTATCGGTTGTTCATTCAGAATAGACAGCATGTGACACTCAGAAGTGTCCTATTTACAAAGGAAAATGTGCAAAATGGAAGAGTAAGAGGTAATAGATAATAATGGGAAAACTATGATGTGACTGAAATATCTGTCTGTGAGGTAGTTGAGCTAGATAATTTTTCAAGGTGACCATAAACTATGTTTTATAGCCATCTTGTAACTGATTAATATTCATGTCTCAAAGACGTGATGTGTTCGAGTAGATCAGATTGGTGGTGGGTCTGGGTTCAGAAAACAAAAAATTTATGCTCAAATCTGCCACTAATCTTTCCATGTAGTTGAGCTTACTATATAATTTTTCTGGGCTTAAAATTAATTATCTACAAAATAAGAATTTGGTTTATAGTGTCACTATTTAAAGAATGAGTGTAGAGCAGAAGGAATGAATCAGAATCATTAGAACAAATTGCATTTGAGGTGAGCAACAACAAACAGAATTTAGTAACTCAGGGTTCTAGGAATTCCTCTTAATCCTGGCAATATATCAAATAAATTGAATTGTGCTTCATTCATTCACTTGAACTGAAAACAAACTAAAACCATTAAGATGCCCAAATATTGAAGAAATTTCATCTGGATAAATTATGAGAAATCATCTTGAGTTTATCATACTTCCCAAAGTTTGGTAATAGAGGTAGATGTTGGAAATTAATTAGAGGTTGGGAGAGTTCAGGAGAGACACTTCTCTATTTGGTGAGGTGGGGATGAGGATCACAGTGTAGAAGGGAGTGGGTGGGGAGCTATGCAGGAGGCCACTCCTGACTTTTTCCTCTAATGCTGTCCCTTTCCAGACTCTTCACCTGAATTTCTGCTGCCTCAGGCTTAGGATATTCAAACACAGAAACAAAGTTTTTGTAGGAGTGTGGGGTTCAGCCTGGAATTTGTGTGTCGCTGTCCATGGTCCTGATCATACTATTGTTAGCTCACAGCTGTTTCTCCTAATCAAGGGACACCACAGATGACTTTTGTCCGGTTTAGCCAAAATGAAGGAAAAATTTGTAAATTAGTCATGGAAGTGAGTGGATCACAAGCTGTAGAAAAAGACTGAGTGAAAGAGACATAGGCACCAAGAAATAAACAAGGGAAAAAGAAACAAAACAATTGTTGATATAATTTTCAAATAATCTCAGGAGCCACAAATGAAACCACAAATTACCATGGCCAAAACGGGAAACTACTGAAGGAGAGTATAACATGTGTGTCCAAAGCTATAGAATCATAACAAGTCCTGACATAATCAAACACATTTAAATGAGGTGTGCAGAATGCCAACCTGGTAAAATAAAACTCATGGGTTGAACTATGCCGAACAGCTCACAGTTTTCTTTGGTTTAATATTTCTACTTCACCCTGGGCGAGCGGGCGCCGTGCGCGTGTCCCGCAGTCGAGCTGCTAATAAAGTTGCAGGGAGAAGCGCAGCGACGGCGTCGGGAGAGCGCGCCCAGCCGGCCCGCCAGACTTGAACCAATGAAAGAAACATGGCACTTCTGAAGATAAATGTCACTCCTCCCTTTTTAATTGGAACTTCCACTTAGGACCTGTGTGTGACATTTCACCTGTGATCTGTACTTTCAGTAGCCACTGACTTTGAGTTACAGCAAGGTCTCTGAAGATTTGTATCAAATGACGTCAATGGCCAGCTTGTTTTTTTTTACTAGTCAAGCAGTAAAGCGATTGTTGGGCTGGAAACAAGGTGACGAGGAGGAAAAATGGGCAGAAAAGGCAGCTGATGCTTTGGTGAAGAAGCTAAAAAAGAAAAAGGGTGCCATGGAGGAACTGGAGAAAGCCTTGAGCAGTCCAGGACAGCCAAGTAAATGTGTCACTATTCCCAGATCTTTAGATGGACGCCTGCAAGTTTCTCACAGAAAAGGCTTACCCCATGTTATATATTGTCGCGTTTGGCGCTGGCCTGATTTGCAGAGTCATCATGAGCTAAAACCGTTGGATATTTGTGAATTACCATTTGGATCTAAGCAAAAAGAAGTTTGTATCAACCCATACCACTATAAGAGAGTGGAGAGTCCAGTCTTACCTCCAGTATTAGTGCCTCGTCATAATGAATTCAATCCACAACACAGCCTTCTGGTTCAGTTTAGGAACCTGAGCCACAATGAACCACACATGCCACAAAATGCCACGTTTCCAGATTCTTTCCACCAGCCCAACAACACTCCTTTTCCCTTATCTCCAAACAGCCCTTATCCCCCTTCTCCTGCTAGTAGCACATATCCCAACTCCCCAGCAAGTTCTGGACCAGGAAGTCCATTTCAGCTCCCAGCTGATACGCCTCCTCCTGCCTATATGCCACCTGATGATCAGATGGGTCAAGATAATTCCCAGCCTATGGATACAAGCAATAATATGATTCCTCAGATTATGCCCAGTATATCCAGCAGAGATGTTCAGCCTGTTGCCTATGAAGAGCCTAAACATTGGTGTTCAATAGTCTACTATGAATTAAACAATCGTGTTGGAGAAGCTTTTCATGCATCTTCTACTAATGTGTTAGTAGATGGATTCACTGATCCTTCAAATAACAAAAGTAAATTCTGCTTGGGTTTGTTGTCAAATGTTAATCGTAATTTGACAATTGAAAACACTAGACGACATACTGGGAAAGGTAATCTTGTCATTTTCCTATGTGTAATTGAATACAATTTGTTGTACTTGCCATGAACCATTGTGAAAGGTGCTAGAAACATACAAAGAAGCTTAACACATGGCCTCTGCCTTAAGTTGCCAATATTGAAGAATGTATTAATCAAATAAAGACATGATCTTTCCTCAAAAAAATATATATTTCTACTTCAGGACTTTTAGAAATTTTACAGTTTCATAGAAAAAATATGATGGTGGCTTATATGGCACTTTGTGTAGCTAATTTCATTCTGTTTGGCAGTTCTACCATGTTTTCCAAACTATCCCTTGAAGAAATAACAGGTGGAACTGCCCTATATCCCCTTTGCTGTGTTTGTATGTCTCAATCAGGGAAATGGATAGCAAAAGAGATGGCTAGTCGTGCTGCAATATATGCCGGTTTTCCATAGCAATAGAATCTTCAACCAGGACTCCAAAGAATTAAAATTATTTTTCACAGCCTCCTAGCAGTGTGGGGTGGCCACCCTTCTCTCTCTCTCAAAGAAAAAAAAATGTCTTCTGTTCTCTTCTTTGCCATCCTTATTGTATATTGTAGCCTGAATCATCAATGACACAGGATAGTAGGAGGCTGAGGATTCTAGTCTAGGAGTAGTGAAGTGGTGAGTATAAAAGATTATGAGGGAGCAGAGCACTCATAACAACCCTGGACTTCATTCCATCTGAATTTCATGTCAAAAAGAGATAAGCATATATTTTTCTTCCTAAGCCACTGCCATTTTTTTTCTGTTACTAGCAGCTGTACCTAATCCTAATTAATACACTGTTCATCAAAATTTGATGAATGCATAGCAAGTACTGGCTCATGTATACCAAATCAAAAATAAGAAAGGAATCTAAGAAAGAATAAAAAACCAACAAGCAAAAGAGTTCCATGAGGTCCTGTTATTTTTACATGAAGGAGGAATCCCCAAATATCTCCAAGCATGGGAACTAAAGTTGCTTTTCACCAAAATAAATAAATTAAATAGTCTTTTAAAAATAATTTATTTACAACATGGAATTTCCTAAGAAAATTCTTCCTTCAAACACCCTTCCCACTCTAACTACTGGCTCAGGAGAAATGCTGGGAGCTTCGCAATAAACCTTTTAAGTGGATGACAATGAGAAGCTTGAAGCCACCATCCAATAAAAATGAGTTAGCCACCCCAGCTTTTTAGGTTTCCAAAAAGAGATGTGGGCTTTCCTTTCCCGGTGACATAGGTGTACACTATAAGCTAATTTTTTTTCTTTGCACAAAACTTAGTATTTTCATGCAGCATTAAGAGTGGCCAGAATCACATTAACTCTGCCCCTTATGGAAATTGCTGTGACCCTTATTTCCTGCAACTGGACCAGCTGTCAATTGTCTTTGAATGTGAAAGATGGTGGTGATCTCTTTGTATGCAGGAAGAATGTATTTCAAAATGGACAACCAGTTGCGAACAGTATGCAGAAAAAGCCAGAGTCCCCTTCCAGAGGCTCCTCCCTTCCTTCTTCTTATTGTCTAGAAAATGCCAGCAAAGTTTAAAATTAATGGTGACCAACTGAAAAAGAATAGGAAATCAAAGAAACATTTATTCCCTGAGAAGCAGACTTATTTCTTTGACTTTTACGTAAGAGCACAGACAGGTTCTGTCAGCTCTGGTTTTTGTAGAGAGGACAGGAAGGAGAAAAGCCCATCCACAGGACAGAAAACATGTTTTCAGGCACAGACAATTTTTTTATTATTTTAAATTTGAAATAAATATAATACAAATGAGTACCATATACTTTTCTCAAGTTCTCTTAATGTTATTAATTTTAAAATCTGAGATCTTTAGAGTTAAAATAAAGCACAAAAGAAATACACGGCATTATTTTATGTACCAAGAACGAAAGTACATAATTCTCCCCTATGAGGCTATAAATACTTCAATTCAAATCTACCTGGATACACAAATATTACTAGTAGCCATAAAGACTGCAGTCACTGGAACAGGCATCCATGAGAAGATCAACATGCTTGGTGAGTACAGTTCAGAGCACTAGCTTAATGAGACAGAAGTATTTGGCTTCAGTCCCCAGAGACCCCTTACTTAATCCATAACTATTGCTCTTCATCAACTGCTTAATTTCAGCCAAAATATATATTGGCTACAAGAGGAACTGAGAAAGAATGTGTGGATAACTCAGGGTAAAGACAGTCCCAATGTCAGAAAAACAAGACACAACATAAACCCAGTTAATTGGAGTAACTAGTACTATCTTCCCTTGTATAAGAGACAAAGACAACTGCTATTAGCCATATGACTTTGCTATCACAGCAGTTTGGTCTGAGTCAACTCTAAAACAAGAGAGGTGGCAAAGCAAGATGGCAGACTAGACGGCTCCACCAATTATCCCTCCCACAATAACACCAATATAACCACTATCTACATGAAAAAACACCTTCATAAAAACCCCATATCAGGTGAGTACTCACAGTACTTGGTTTTAACTTCATACTGCTGAAAGAGGCACTGAACTGGGTAAGAAAGACAGCCTTGAACCGCCAATGCCACCCTTCCCCCATCCTCTGGCAGTGGCTGTGTGACACAGAGAAATCTGTGTGCTAGGGAGAGGCAGAGTACAGCAATTGTGAGAACTTGCACTCAACTTAGTGCTGCCCTATAACTAACAGAATGCAAAACCAGGCTAAAAGCTGACATCCATCCATGAAGGGAGTATTTAAACAAGCTCTAGTCAAAGGGGAATTGCTCATCTCAGTAGCAGGAACTTAAGTTTTTGCCACCATAGCCTAAAGTGCTCCGGAGCTCTAAATAAACTTGAAAGGCAGTCTAGCCCACAAGGACTGTAACTCCTAGGTTAGTGCTAGTGCTGAACAGGGCTCAGAGCCAGTGGACTTGCAGGACACGTGTCCTATTGAGACATCAGCTGGGGTGGATAAGGAAGCGCTTATGCCATCTTTCCTCAGCCCCAGGTTGCACAGCTTGTGGCTCCAAAAGAGTTCCCTCCTTCTATTTGAGGAGAAAAGAGGGAAGAGTAAAAAGGACTTCCTCTTGTATCTTGGATACCAGTTCAGCCACAGTGTGATAGGGCACCAATCAGAGTAGTGAGGGCCTGGCTCCTGGATGACATTTCTAGACACTCTGCACTCTGGTCCAGAAAGAAACATGCTACCTTGAGGATAAAGACTCAGTCCTGGCAGAACCCATCACCTGCTAATGAAAGAGCCCTTGGGCCCTGAATAACCAATAGTATTACCTAGGTAGTATATCATGGGCCTTTGGTGAGACTCAGACTTGCTGGCTTCAGGTGAGACTCAGCACATTCCAAGCTGTGGTAACTATGGAAAGAGGCTCCTTTTCCTCAAGAAAATAATAGGGCAAAGTAAAGAAGATTTTGACTTGCACCTGACATACCAGCTTGGCCACATAGGGGTAGAGCACCAAGTGGGCTACTGGGTTCCCCAAATCCAAATCTTTGCACTTGGGTGGCATTTCTGCACCTACCCTGGGTCAGAGGAGAGCATACTGCCCTGAAGGATAAGTCTTGGGTCAGGCAGCATTCACCACAAGCTGACTAAAGAGCCTTCGAAACTTAAAGAAATGCCAGAATAGGCTGACAATAATCCCCATGGATTTGTTGGGGTCAGGACCATGCAGTGAGACTCCTCTGCCTGTGGAAGTGGGATGGAAGAATGCAAAGAACAGAGTCTTATGGTCTGAGTGCAAGCTCAGCCACAGTACAATAGAATATCAGGTAGACTTCTAGGGTTTTTTTACTAGTCTCTGGATCCCAGATGGCAGCTCTGGACCTGCCTGGAGCCTGCAGAAACTCAACACCCTGAAGGGAAGGACACAACACTGTCTCACTTTGCCATCTGCTGACCAGCTCAAGGCCTTGAGTGAACATAGGTGGTAGTCAAATAATGATTACAGTGGGCCTTGAGCAAGACCCTGTGTCAGGCTGGATTTGGGTCTGACCCAGCACAGTCCCAGTGGTTGTGGCCACAGGAGTACTTGTGTCACACTTTCCCCAGCCCCAGCTGCAGGCAGCTCAGAAAAGAGAAAGAGAGAGAGAGGCCCTGTTTGTTTGGGAGAAAGTAAGGTGAGAGAACAGGGGTCTCTGCCTGGTAATCCAGATAATTCTTACAAAGCTTCTCCAAGACAATCAAAGCAGTACCTCTATGAGTATGCAAAAACTATAATTACTGGGCTTTGGGTGCCCTGTAATGCAGATACAGCTTAAATCACAACACTTGCATTCTTTTGAATATCTGCAAAGCCTTCCCAAGAAAGATTGGTACAAATAAGTGCAGACTGCAAAGGCTACCATAAATAACTCTTCAATTTCCAGACACAGTCAAACATACACAAGCATCAAGATCATCCAGGAAAACATGATCTCATCAAATGAACTAAACAAGGCACCAAGGACCAACCCTGGAGAGAAAGATATGTGACCTTTCAGGCAGTTAATTCAAAAGAGCTGTGTTGAGGAAATTCAAAGATATTTAAGATAACACATAGAAGAAATTCGGAATTCTATCAAATAAATTAAACAAAGACATTAAAATAAAAAGAATCAAGTGGAAAATTTGGAGTTGAAAAATGCAATTGACATACTAGAGAGTATATCAAAGTCTTATAATAGAAGAATTGATCAAACAGAAGAATTATTGACTTGAAGCCATTTGTAAATATACAGAGTAAACATAAGAAAAAAATAAAAAACAATGAAGCATATCTACAAGATCTAGAAAATAGCCTCAAAATGGCAAATCTAATAATTATTGGTCTAAAAGAACAAAGAGATAAGGGTAGAAAGGATAATAACAAGAAACTTCCCAAACCTCAAGAAAGATATCAATATCCAGGCACAAGAAAGTTATAGAATAGCAAGCAGATTTAACCCAAGCAGATTTTGCCTTAATAACCAAACTCCCAAAGGACAAAAATAAAGAAAGGATTCTAAAAGCAGCAAGAGAAAAGAAACAAATATCACACACTGGGGCTCCAATACATCTAACAGCAGACTTTTTAATGGAACACTTACAGGCCAGAATAAACTAGCAT